AATTACAGAGAGTGTAGGTGGGGGAGCTGCTCTGCAAGGTGGCCAGGGAGGGCCTCGCTGAGGACCGGATGTCTGAGTTCAGGCCCAAAGCTGTCCTTCACCCCTGGCTGGTGGCCTGAGTGGCAGCCATTGGTGACGTCTGAAGTGAGGAGCGATGCTGTGGTCTGTGGTCGTTCCCTCTCCCACCCTCCTGCCTGAGCTCTCCAGGAGTCCAGGCACCAGGCCACTCCCCTCTCCTACGCCCTGAGATCACTGCCATTTGAAGGCCCCGCCTGAACCCAAAGGCCCTTAGAGCCAGGTCTTCAGGAAAAGCAGCCAGACCCCCGCATAGGCACCCAGGATGGGCTCCCAAAGGCCACCATGTGAGCCACAGTGAGAGGGGGCAGCCTCGGGGGGCAGCCTCGGGCGTGCGCCTCCCCCTGTCCAGGCACCCTGAGGAAACAGGGAAAGGAGCTGCAGGAGGCCAGCAGCCTGGGGTAGGGACCGTCTGCCTTCCCTGGCACTCCGCCAGAGCTCCGGGAACCCTGCTGGGCTGCTCTTCACTGACAGAGAAACCGAGCCTCAGCGAGGACATCCTGGCACTACTGGGTCGACAGCAGTGTCGGGCAGGGCGACCGGGGGGTGTGGAAGGAAGGCGTGATGTGCCCGGCAGTGTGAGCGAGCAATTGCCCGGACCCTCGGTGGGGACACTGCCATGCCTGCAGCGGTGGGGGGTGGTCCCGAGTCAGACACCAAGCCCCAGGCTGTTAAATTGGAAGTGACTCTAGAGCAGTGGTTCTCAACCTTCCTAATGCCGCGACCCTTTAATACAGTTCCTCATGTTGTGGTGACCCCCAACCATAAAATTATTTTCGTTGCTACTTCATAACTGTAATGTTGCTACTGTTATGAATCGTCATGTAAATATCTGATATGCAGGATGCATTTTCATTGTTACACATTGAACATAATGAAAGCATAGTGATTAATCGCAAAAACAATATGTAATTATATATGTGTTTTCCGATGGTCTTAGGCGACCCCTGTGAAAGGGTCGTTCGACCCCCAAAGGGGTCTCGACCCACAGGTTGAGAACCGCTGCTCTAGTGGGAGTGTAGACCTCTGTCCTTACAGGTGAGCCACCAGGGCCAGAGCAAGCCAGGCACTAGCCCAGGGTCACAGAGAATTACTGCAGACAAGCCCAGGCCCGGGTCTCCTGATGCCCGTCTGAAACCGCCTGTGTGCCCTGAGCACCTGGCCCTGTCCGGCGGCCGAGCGCGGAGACAGCGGGCTTCTGCTGCGCACCTGGAGGCCCCCCCTGCAGCCTCCTCAGGGCCCCGAGCTCCCGCCTGTCCCACATCCTCTGGATGGGAGAAGCCTGGGGTAGGCTGTTGCCCATGGCCAGGTGCTGCCTGCTCCGGGAAACGCGGTGACCTGCATGGGAGGGGTTGGCCTCTGCTGAAAGAAGCGGCTGACTTCCAGGGAAACGGAGTCAGCAATGGGCTTCCCCTGGCAGAGGACGTTCTGAGCCAGACCCAGTTCTCAGCATCAGGGAGGCTCTCCTCGCCCCTCGCCCGGCCCCCTGCCAAGAAGCCTCCACTCACCTGAGCCCACGTTCCCTGCAGCTCCGCCTGCCCCTCCCCACCGCGCCAGTGCCCTGCGCGCTCACGGGCGTTCCTCAGGCGTTCCTCTGTGCGCGTGTGTCTCTCCCTGAGGGTCAGGGCCCAGGCCTCCTGGTACCTGCGGTGGCTCACCCCCTTCCTCTGACACTGCTTGCTCCCTTCCCTCCTCCCGGGCTGTGGCAGAACCCTCTGCAGGTGCTGTCATCCGTCAGTCCTCCCACGCCCCTCTGCACAGAGGGATAATTCAGACTTTTCCTCCTAAACGTGGTTTTGGGAAAAGTCCTTACTTCGAATGCGATGCAAGCCTGTCTGTCGGGATTGTATTTGACCACGCCTAACAAAACCCATCTAGCCTTGGTTCCAGCTGGTGTGAGCATGGATTTCTCCTTGCAGAATGAGAAGAGGGGGCGTCCAGAGAGGGGAGGGCCTCAGTGATGCCCCCGGAGACCAGCCTCCCCACAGCTCCTCCCTCCGCTGCAGTCTTCGCTGCCTGTCCACAGTCTCCTCCTCCGGGTGGTTGTGCCAATGTCGCAGGCAGGTGTGAGGGCCAGAGCTGACGGCTGTATGAGAAGGTGGACACGTAAGGTGTTCACAGGCGCTACATGGGAGGCGTTCCCCTCCTCCTGATGTCCCACTGCCCTGGGGGTGACCAGGCTGGCTTGCCGAGCACCCCGCCCCCCACTCTGTGGGACCCTGATTGGGTGGAAGCACAGTGAGCGCTGCTCCCGCTAGAGCAGGCTGCGGGGCCCGCTGGTCAGAGTCTTCGCAGATCTCAGGAGAAAGGTTTGGAAGCCGAGATAAAGCACCCGCTCCTTTAATCAAAGGATGGTCCTTGGGAAGTGCCCGCTCCACCCAGCAGACAGCTGCCCCAGCAGCACAGAGGGTGGCCTCGGCTCCACCGGACCTCAGCTGGCGCAGCTGAGAGGTCACAGCTGTGGGGGCCGAGGGGAGGGACACTGTCCTCCCACTGCTCCCCGACTTCTGTTCTGGGCCACTCCCCCCATGGTAGAGACCCCTGGACTGGTGGTGGTGCCCGCGGGTGTCTTAGCTCGGACCCTTCAGTCCTGAGCAGCCTTTGGTGACCTCTGTCAGCCAAGTCCAAGGGTCCTGAAGTCCATTGCAGGCAGCGATGCTCTGTCACACGGGGAGGAGAGGAGGCGTCCTGGTGTGCGTCTCGGCCTCGCCAGCCAGCTGTGCGCACAGGCCAGGGCGTCAGCCAGCGGGAGCCTCGGTCCCCATCCGACTGGTGCGGTGTCGGGAGCTCGGGACAGCAGCGTCCTGTGCTGTGCCCTCTGCTTTCACGTGGCAACTGGACACGCCGCCCACGTGTGAGCGCCCTTCCCATCACGGGACGTGGAGGCCAAGGGAAAGGTCGGCGTATTCTCCATCCGCCCCTCCTCGCGTCATCCGCACCTTGCACGGAGGTGCAGTCTCTTCTTACTGAACAAAAACAAAACAAAAACAAGAAGGAAAGAAAAAAACAGTGAGGCATGAACTTGAATTCAGGGTAGATTTAAGAAGACAGACAGGCTTCTAACAGATGGGTTTGCTGCTGTTTACGAGGCAAGACTGGAGCAGTCGCCTTCCTCTGTGGGGCCAGCACTGAGAGACCCCTCAGTCCACCGGCCGCCTGCGTGGCACCCAGGGCCTCTGTCCCGGGCCTGTGTCCCCCGCCTCTCACCTGCCAGGGGGCACCCACAACCAGGAGCCCACTCCATGAGTTTCGGGAAGCCACACATGTCCAGACACAACTTCAGCAAACATCGCCTCACATTCCTCTCCTTCCTGCTCTCCTCCTGCTTCCTTCCTCCTGGGGATTCCCCTGTCCCCCTGGCCCAGGGCTGCGGGGAGAGGCCCGTCTTCGTCCGCAGGCTCTGCCTCCCCGTGAACAGAGCCGGCTGGAGAACCCCAAGTTAGCTCCTTGAGGAGCTCTGCTCCCACTCATTTTCTTGGATACCTCTTCCCTTTTGGAGCAGAAGCACAGCGCAGCTTGTGGCACCAGTTGAAATGGCTGCAGGATGCCTCCCTGAAGACCCTCCCCCACTGCCCTTGGGGGATGAAGAGGGGGAAGGAGTGGGGGTGCGGCGGGGAGAGGCAGACCACTTCTCCTTCGTCCTGTCTTCCCTTCCCACTCCCACTTGGGGCCACTGCCTGGACTCGGGGGCAGGACGCTGGGGACTCAGGTCCTGCCTTGTTGGTGCAGCCATTCTTGCCCGGGCATCAGGTATTGGTGTCTCCATCAGCTCTGGCTGCTGCAACAAAGCACCATCGACTTAGACAACAGCTGTGTATTTCTCACCGTCCGGAGGCTGACAAGTCAGGATCAGGTGCCGCAGAGTCGGTGTCTGGGGAGGGCCGCTTCCTGGTTTGCAGGGGCTGCCTCCTTGCTCTGTGCTTGCGGAGACCTCCCTCCCTCCTCTGTTAAAGGCACTAATCCCAGCAGGAGGGTCCCACCCTCATAACCTCATCTAACCCGAATTACCTCCCAGGGGCCCCACCTCCCCATACCATTGTATTTGGGGTTTAGGGCTTGAACGTAAGACTTTGGGGAGATACAAACAGTCAGTCCCCAGCAGTGGGATGTTCCCCCAATGTTGCCCGGCCACTGCATCGCTGGAATAGGGTCCTTAGCGCACAGGCGTGGGTGCCCGGACAGAGTGTGACAGGATGGGCAACCGGGAGCATGGGCCTGGGCGTGCTCTTCGTGTGCTGCCAGTGGCCTGAGAACCGGGGCCTCATGTCACTGCCCCGCCTGGCCATTCCCTCTGTGAGGCCCTTGGGGAGGGTTCCCGCACCTCCCAGTCTTTGCACGTTTATTAAACAATCACTGTGCCTCTTCCCACTGCTGCGGTTTATGGGCTTTGGGGTCCAGAAGCCTGAGCCCCAGCCCGGCTGCAAATCAGGGCGGGTGGGCAGAGCAGGTGGGGGCAGCAGCCTGCAGGCCGCACCTCCTGCTGACTCCCCAGTCAGGCTCCAAACCCTGTCCCTCTCGCCCAGAAGGTCAGCAGGGGAGTGTGGGGGCCAGGTGCTGGCAGGTGGAGGAATGAGAATGCACAAGCCCATTGGGAGAAGGGGCGGCTCCCAGGTCTGACTCCTCCACTCGTGGTCAGACTTTGCATTCCTGGAAACATGCTTGACTGTGCGCCTTCCTCTCGGGCCTTTGGAAGGGCCCTCACCCTCGCTTTCCTGCTGCCAGAGCATCCTTTCGAGTCCGTGTATCCTAATCTTCACTCCCCATTTCCAGGGAGGCAGGTGGCCAGTGTTCAGAGCTTCCGGAACGTGTGGGCTTGGCTGGGCCCACTCCCTGGTTCCTGCTCTTCCCTGGGGAGGGCCCCCGGGGGAGGGTGTGCACGGGGCCCCTGCCCACCCTCTGACCCTCCTGTTGTGTGTCCTCCACAGCCTGCGATTGCCACCCCGTGGGCGCTGCTGGCAAAACCTGCAACCAAACCACCGGCCAGTGTCCCTGCAAGGACGGCGTGACCGGCATCACCTGCAACCGCTGCGCCAAAGGCTACCAGCAGAGCCGCTCCCCCATCGCCCCCTGCATAAGTACGCGGGCGCCTGCTCCTGGGGCTCGGGCTTGGGTGCGGGTGGAGGGCCCTTTCTGGAGGGGGTCCCGCCATCCAGGGAGTGTAGCTCATGGGTGCGATCTCTGCCTTGGTGGGACCCCGGGTGGGACCCCAAGCCGTGGGGTGCTTGCTGGCGCACAGCAGAGACAGCCTGTCTGGGGCTGTCTGTCCTGACCAAGAATGAGTCGGGGAAGCGAGCCCACCCCTACGCCTGGGTCCTGTTTCCATGTGCCACCTTGACCTTGGACCTGAGTGGGTGGGTGGGCAGAGCAGGTGGGGGCAGCAGCCCGGAGGTCACACCTCCCTGGTGACTCCCTCAGACCTGGCAAACCCCAGAGCCCCATCTGGCTCCAAACCTTGTCCCTCCCAGCCAGAGGGCCCGTACCTGGGCCGCCATTGCTGCTGTGGGAATTCACACCCCTGCTGCTGGCCGACACCGCAGGACTTTTGAGGGAAGCTGGGAAGGCTCCCATGGCCGTAATGAAGGATGGGAGCAGCCACGAGGGTCCTGGAGGCCCCATCGGGCCAACCATGACCCCTTAGTTGCTGGAGCTTGGAGAGGGAGTGACGGGGTGGCAGGGGGCCTTGGCTCAGCCAGTCTTCATGTTTTACAACCGGTGGCATCACACAGGTGTCGTGAGCAGAGGCTGAGCCCTGGCGGAAGCCGGGTCTGGGGCGTGCAGGCAGGGCCTGCCCTGGAAAGGAGGGCAGAGGGAGGAGCCGAGCCCAGCCCGCCGGGCGGAGCCTGACGGAGTCTGCTTCTCCGGAGCAGGGCTGGCACACCTGCCGGGAGGGTCCCGCCACCTGGTTTTATACGGCTGCAGGGGTGTGTGTGTGTGTGTGTGTGTGTGTGTGTGTGTGTGTGTTTACCCTTTTTAAATGACCGAAACAAAAAACAAAAGAACACTGCTGCTTCCCGTGTGCAGATGATGGGAAAGTTCAGTGTTCACAGGGAAAGTTTTATGGGGACACAGCCGGGCCCGCTGTTCACAGGCGCCTGTGGCGGTTTTTGAACCGTAACCACAGAATCGAGCAGCTACAATGTAGACCTGTGACCTGCGGAGCCAGAAGTCTTTTCTACCTGTTTAAATGACCGAAACAAAAACCAAAAGAACACTGCTGCTTCCCGTGTACAGATGATGGGAAAGTTCAGTGTCCACAGGGAAAGTTTTATGGGGACACAGCCGGGCCCGCTGTTCACAGGCGCCTGTGGCGGTTTTTGAACCGTAACCACAGAATCGAGCAGCTACAATGTAGACCTGTGACCTGCGGAGCCAGAAGTCTTTTCTACCTGTTTCTACCTGGGCCTCCACAGGAGAGGCCGGCCGGCCTGCTTTAGGGTGTCAGCATCCTGTAGCTCTGGGAGGGCACTGGCCCTTCTGGTCTGTCACAAGGCACCTGGGGACTTGGAGTGGTCCCCATGGACCTTGCAGAGAACCCTACGTACGCACACGCACACTCACACCCACACACACATACACACACAGAGGCAGGAGCTTTAGCCGCTGCACCTCACCTGCCCCAGCTGGGGTGGCCTTCACCTTCCAGGACAGGTCGGGTGGTGTCGGTTCCGGCGGCGCCAGCCAGCTTCTAAGGCAGGATGTGTGGCAGGGTCCAGTGCCAGCCAGTGACCCAAAGCCCAGCCTCAGGAAATTGAGCTCAGTGCCCACCGGGGCAGAGCAAGGTGAAAGGGTTCCCACAACATGCCTCCCTGCCGGTCTCCCAGTGTTCAGCAGTCCCTCCACCCACCCAGGAAGCGGCAGTGACACCGGGAGCGCTGGGTGGAAACCGTGCCGCCATCTGGAGAATGCACACGGGGAAATGGTCTCCCTTTTAAAGGGAGTCAGGAGCTGTCGGGTTGCTCAGAGGCGGCGGGAACCAACATTCCCAGCGCCCAGGGCAGACCTGGCAATGAAGCGGATGTTTCAGACTCAGAGACAGGGACCTGGAAAACGGGGGCTCGCGCTTCCTGACGCTCAGTACCTTCCCCCGTCTGTCCTCCCCGAGGCAGGTGATGCCAGAGCTAGCCCACCAGCAGCCTAAAGACCTGGTCTCCCTCCTGGGGTTCCCACGAGCTCTGCAGAGAGCACCCGCTGCAGGAGCCCGACAGTGCCCCGAGGACTGCTGTCCCGGCTCGGGGAGCCACAGGCCCCCTGTGCACAGGTGCTAGCCCTCAGGCCAGTGTGGCTCCCTTTGGGGACATGCAGGGTTGGGCTGGACCATGCGGACGCCCCCTCTGGGGTGTTTCTGCTAGGACCAGGTAGCTCCTAGGGACCGAGGGGGGCCTGGTGTAAGCTAGGCTTCTTAATGAGCTGCTGTGACGGCACTTGCTGCTGCTGATAAAATCCATCGAGCGCAAGATTTGCCTCCACATTGAGGGCTGAGTCCTCTGCCCATTCCTTCCGGAAGGTGTTCCTGCCGTAGCGCCCGGGTTTGCCCCCAGCCTGAGTGTCCCCAGGTGCCCAGCTCCACATGGCTCCAGTCCTAGCTGGTCTAGATCTGGGGGTCCACGGGAGGTCTTATCCCAACAGTCAGAGGGCAGCCAGAGTCCTCAGGGCTCTCAGAGGCCTCTGTGGTCACTCACCAGGGAGGCCCTGCCCCTCAGGGACTGTGGTCCCTGGTTTGGCCTCATTTAGAAGGAAAAAGCCTCAGCTGTGATACCGGTGGTACCTGGCCCGTCCTGGGGACCAGCTGCACCCCTCCCTTTGCAGAGCATGGTTTAGAAGGAAGAAGCCTCAGCTGTGATACCAGTGGTACCTGGGGACCAGCTGCACCCCTCCCTTTGCAGAGCATGGGGTGGAGCAGGAACTGGTGGGAACTGGCCGCCACCTTAGGTAGAAGTGGAGTGACCACAATAAGGCGCACACTTCCACAGGCCCCTTTTCCTTCCGTGGTGTTGGTCTCTACTGCCCACGGAGACAGTGCCCTAGCTGGTGAGATGTGCCCATGGGAACCTGGGCAGGGTGCAGACCCCTTTCTGCACATGTAGGACACCTCCCAGCCGCCTTACCTGCCACCCCTGTCATGGGCACCTTCCCCCCGCCCCCACAATGAGTTGAGGTCAGAGGTGAGCAGGGCCTAGTCAGCCACATGGAGATGAGCAGGGGGCCTGGGGAAGCCCCTGTCGGCCACCTCAAGGGCTCAGCAGAAACACACACACACACACACACACACACCCCACCCCCTACCTGGCCCTGGCTCAAGGGCGAGGGCAGCCCAGCTTCCCTTCTCCTCACTCCCGTCCCTCCTCAGTATCGAGGAGTGTGGGCATCCCTGCGGGTGAAGGGACAGCTTCCACAGGAGAACAGGCAGGGAGCCTGGGCACCCTGCCCCCAGCTGCCTCCTCCTCCCCAACCATCCTTTCCTGGAGCTGGGGTGATGGGGGGGGGCGGTGAGGGGACACTGGAAGGCTGGGAGGGGTTTGTGCTGTGCTCATCCTTCTCTAAGGTCAGAAATCACACCTTCTCACCTCACTTTCCCCTCCTCCCGTCCCGAATCTTGCAGAGATCCCCGTGGCGCCGCCCACCACTGCAGCCAGCAGCGTGGAGGAGCCGGAAGGTAGGCTGGCCCCCTCTGCTCATCTTTTTGGGAGGGGTGGGTAGGGAAGGGGGTTAGAGGGGCCAGAATCCTCCCAACCACCATCAGGGCGCTCCTTGGCATGAGTGGTTCCCGGGCTGGACTGAGGAGGATGGAGCCTCAGGGCATTTTTCTGGGAGTCCCCACCCCAAGAATAAAAGAGAGGGGTTTACTCTGCCTGTGGCTAGCCTCTCTCCAAGCCCAGGACACTCACAGCGGCTCCTCTTGTTCATCCACCAAGTTAGGAGCGGCCTGAGCCCAGCACCATCCGACGGGGCCGCATAACCCCTTCCGGGGGCTGCAGAAGGTCCGGGAAGGAGGTGGCAATGCCTTCCCCAGCAGCAGAACAGAACAAGGGGCCGCACACAGACATCGGGGTGGGGGACAGGTAGCTGGACAGGGAGAGAACCACACGCCACTGTCCCTCTCCTCTCGCTGAACGTGAGCATTTCCTCGGTTGCAAAGGTGGCCACGAACCATGGCAGGGTCAGCAGCCCGGTGACCTGGGCACCAGCAGAAGTCACAGGTGTTTCCCCATCCCATCGAGTGGGTGCAGATATCCCAGAATGCCGTTTAGGTCACTGTCGCTTCAAAATTACGGGAGCCGCCAGGCCTGCTGCTGCCTCCCGACCTATAACCATGAATAACGAAGCGACACAGTGCAGGGCTGCACCGTCAACCTCGGGTTTTGAACGTGCTTGGATAAGTGTATTTTAGTGTGTTCGTTTCCGTTGTAATGTCGACAAAAGAACGTCCAGCCTAAGAAAAAGTCTTAGAGGAGTGGACTGGAGCCAAACTGACCACATTTGCCGGGAAGCAAAATCTCAACGGAGTGAGAAAATGCTCCGGAGAATGGCAGCTTTACAGCTTCTTTTATACATTGCAATCAAAGGAGGAGGTGTAAGGGGGTTACATGAAGCCCATTGGTGGTAGATTAAAGGGACGGGAGAAAGCAGAGTGGGGAAAGTCTGGGACTGGATAAAAAGTGAAATGGAGAGACACTGCTTTTCATTGGCGGGGGCGGGATAGTTAGTAGTTAGCACTTACAGCAGCACGTGGAGATGGTCTCGGGGGACAAGATAGCAATGTGGTGTCGGGTAGGTGGTGTGCCCCGCGGGGTCTGGAAAAGGAGGTTGCTTTGACATTTCAGAGGTATGTTAGTTATCGTAGATGCAAAAAGACGGGCAGGCTCAGCTAAGGTAAAGAGCGGCCTTTGTCAGGGGAGCTATCGGCCTGGGACGCAGCCACCTGCCACGCCCGCTTTGAGTTGGGAATTGTACGTTCAGACCTTCCTGTGTGGTTACTTTCGGCCTCTGAGTCTGCAAGGCCCCCCATGCAGGGCCCTGAGTGTGTCGGGTTTAGTATGTGGCCCCTTTCCCATCCACAGTCGTCCCATGTGTTTTATTTTTGTATTTGGAGATAATACTGTGACAATGGTTGTCACCAGCCCTCGGCACAAAGGAGGTTACACGGGGCTCAGAGCCGGCTGGATGGGGCGCCACGCGGAGAGCAGCCAGGCTTGTACCCAGCGTCCTGGTCCTGGGGTCACACAGGCCTTTCGTGTACTGGCACTTGGAGTAGGCGTGGGAATGGGGGGCCCATGTGGACATCAGTGTCAGCTCTGGGGACCCCCTTCCTCCTCTCCAGGGAGGACTGTAGGGAGGTGTGGGGGAGGCTTGCACACCCACGTGGTTGCCTGAATGTCTTAGAATAAAGACTAGACTGGAGTGTTGGCCGTACGCTGGGAACTGAGAGAGAACGTTTCAAACTCGCCTATGTGCACAGTCAACGAACAGCCCCCAGCGAGGAGCGGACAGAGAGCGTTTCAGGGAGTGCCAGGGTCACACCGGGAAAGCCAGGGACGTTGGTCTTGGGAAATTGGGTAGAGCCGTCAGTCACCTTTGGTCGAGCTGCAAGGGGCACTCACGGGAAAAACTGCAGGAGGAAGCAGCTCGGGGCCTGGGAGGCCGAGGCAGGAGCCCGCGTGAGGCTGAGGAAGGCCTTTCTGACCCAATTCAAAGGCACATCCCATCCAGCCCTGGGCGGCAGCTGGGCGAGCAGACGCCGACACTCGCTGGAGTCCTGACTCCTGCTTCCGTGATGTGGCCTCAGCCGCTCAGAGCTCACCTGGCCCCTCGCCTGGGGCTGTGCACCCGGCTAGGCCGCGCAGACCGGCATCTCGCTCTTACCTCCCGTTTTCCCAGTCCCTGCAGCGGTTTTGGCTTTTGCCCTTGCAAATCAGAAATGGGCAAATGGGAAAAAAATAGAGGGAAAAAGAAAAACGACTCCCGAGATTCCTGTGCCGGCCACAGGAGTAAAGCAAGCGATGATGATCTTCGTTGGGCCAGACAAGATTCCCGAGCGAGCACTTACAAACACGTGCAGCTCCTCCTTTAAAGTCCTCTCCAGCAGTTCTTGGTTAGTTAGTTGCCTCTCTGACTCCTTCTGTTTTTGTTACTGTTTCTTTCTTTTCTTCCTCCTGAACCTTTAAAAAACATGCTGTAAATGGAAGCCAACAGTAAACACACTTTACAAAGTGCTTTGCTCACCGAGGGGCTGAGCGAGCAGGTGTGATCCTCATGCTTTGACCAGACCCCTCGCACCTTCTCTGGTGGATGCCCAGGATCTGGTGCTCGCACCCGAGGACCAGGGCCATGCCCGGGCCTCGGGCGCTGGACACTGGGCCCGCCACGCACGGCTGCCTTGTCTCGGTGGGCAGGACGGTGTGGGCAGGGGGCCAGGGGGCTCCTGGGGAACGGGCCTGGAGCGCAGCACTCCCAAGCCTGTCAGTTCTTGCAGTGTTTGAATAGGGAAGGCCCGTGTGCCAGGCTGCCGGAGAAAAGCTTATTTACTTTTGCCTGCGTAACGGAGGAGAATTAATACACCGAGAATTCGTCCAGAAAGCTGATGGACATAACCTCACGCTGAACCTGCCCCCCGGCAGGGCCAGCTCACGTAGGGAATGCTGTCCACTGCTGTCTGAGCGGCCGGAGCCCCGTCATGGGGCAGGAGGCAGGAACGGCATGCCCGTGGGAGGTCTGGGCCGGGGCCCAGGAGGGCAGTGGGCTGGGGGGCAGAGAGGGACCCCCCATTCCAAACCCACCCATCCTCTGGGCTGAAAGAGGGCCCCGCCCTCCCTCGGCCGCCATCAGCCATGTGTAGTTGTTGATCGCGGGTTGTTTGGCTTCGTGGAGGCCACTTGGCTCAGCGAGATGAGTCCAGTTTGGACCGGGGGCTCTGGGGCTGATTCTCCGCTGGCTGAGAGGCCTTGGACGTGCAAAGACTTCTCTTTTCTGCCTCCCCCTGTCCCCCGCCCCCTGGGGTTGAGGTGGGAGGGGCTTTCTTCTCAGGGTAGGAATGGCCTTCTTTCTCCTGGTGAGCTTTCTTCCTCTTCAGAAACGCTTGCGCTCTCTCGTCTGCCTCTGATGGTCAGTCTCTCCTGCAGCCCCTTGCTGAGGTCTCCGCGGGCAGAGGCGCTGGTGAATAGTTAGACCTGGCTGGGGCAGAGTCTGACGTCTGGCATTGGCCACTTTCCCTGGTGTAAACACTCCCGGATGGCTGGTTGCAGGCACCCCCTCTGGTGTCATTGAACACACAGGTGGGAAGAGATGCGTACGATGGGCTCTCGGAGCCCAGGTGAGCTGACCCCACCCAGCACTGCCTGCGGGCTCCCCCGGAATGGAGTGTAGGCATAGGAACACGAAAGTACAGAGGGAGGAAGGACCGCCTCTCAGCCGGGCAAGAGGCTGTGGTCTTTCACTGGCTTCCCTGGTGCCAAGGGGCACTGCTGTCTCCTGGGTGGAGGCTGGACTTGGGATGGAGGTGCAAGAGCAAGGAGCCGACTTCTGGGCCCCCCTCCCCGCAGGGTCTCGATCCTCTCTCGGCTTGGTCTCCTCATGGCACTTGCCTATTTGGTGTGGTGTCTCCTGTGACCTGCTTCCATGGCCCCAGCCTCAGGGCAGTCACCTGAGAGTTGTCACACCTGGCGGGCTCTTAGCGCCTCCATTTTTTCATGAAAGAAACTTGGGTTTATAGAGACCTGCAACCTGGAGCAGCTTGGACTGTCCTGTTAGGCTCGTTTTCCAGGACAGGGAATAGGTGGTGAGGAGGGAAAGGGAGCTGACAAGACTGGGGTGCAGCCTTCCCAGGTGTGGGGGGCCGGACGGAGAGGAGAGGACACCGGATGGGAGCCCCAGACCCGAGCTCTGCTCGTCTTGTTTCCTTCTCTGGAAACAGGGTAGTTCAGTAGTTCATGGAACGGGATGATCCAGATAAAGCTTTGGACTCGGTGTTGGGCTTGTACATGTCCAGTGTCAACCCAGTGGAACTGCCTGGGAAGCAGACACTACAGTGCGTGGAGGGCTCGCACGACGTTGAGGTGTCCGCGGGCTCCGTGGTGGGAAGGCAGGGTGGGCAGCAGGAGGTGCAGCCCGAGGACAGGGGTGCCGGGCCTGCTAAGTGGAAACTGCTGGTGGCCTCGCCACGTCCTTCCCAGCGGCCGATGTTGGACCCTGAACCCAGCAGAGAGTTGGAGCCTGGAAATCGATTACTATGGCTTAACTAATTGTTAAGCTTTTTATTTTATTTTTTATATATTTTTTATATATTTTATTGATTTTTTACAGAGAGGAAAGGAGAGGGATAGAGAGTTAGAAGCATTGATGAGAGAGAAACATCGATCAGCTGCCTCCTGCACACCCCCTACTGGGGATGTGCCTGCAACCAAGGTACATGCCCTTGACCGGAATTGAACCCGGGGCCCTTTAGTCCCCAGGCCGACGCTCTATCCACTGAGCCAAGCTGGTTAGGGCTAATTGTTAAACTTTTTATTACGAGAAACCTCAGAGGAGCAGAGAGAATAGTGGCGGGTACCCATGCCTGTCACCTACACTTCACCATGGACATTTTGTCCCATTTGCTTCAGCAATTTCTTTTGCTGAAATATTTTAAGAGAAAAGCTGCCGTAAGACATTTGACCCCTA